CACGGTGGGGGGCGGCTAGCTTCGCCCGCCGGATTCCGGCATCATTTCGCCAAATGGAGTACTCACACAAGCTCTCTCTGTTCTCATCGACGGCCAGCTCTTTCTGTCCTCATCGACGGCCAGGCAGGGATGTTTGTGACGGCAATCACGTGCACAGAAATAAACCGACCAAGTAGTAACGCCCCTAACGTAACCCGCCTCGGCAGCAGGGTGCGCAATACCTTTTTTTTTTTTTCCCTCTTTCTTTTTTTTTTTTTCCCAGGGTGCGCAATACCTCCACACCACATGGTGGTCTGCTGATTTGCTGTGTTTCTGCAGCTGGCGGGAGGCGGGTCGCTTTCCTTTTCTTTTCTTTTCTTTTTTTTTCTTTTCTTTTCTTTGTTTTTTTTTTTCCGACAAAGGCGGGTCTCCTTTCGGCGGTGCAGCAACGCTACGGTAGCCAGCAGGCAATCGAGTCCCCAAATGGCCTATCCAGCGGAGAGCTGGCGGCGGTTGCAACCCCTTTTCCCCGCCAATGAATACTACCGGCGCGCGCAAGCAGCAGCTGGGAAAAGAAGAGGCATAAGGATTTGCAGCGGTTGGGAGGTGGACTCCATTGCCGCGCGCAACGCGTGGTGGCCCGTCCGCGCATCTGCCCTTGGGAGTGCCGGCGGGCGCGCGCGCGCGGGCCGGCCGGCTGGCCACTCCGCTGCGCACTCGCTTCGTAAGTCGTGGCATCGTGACAGCTCGGCGGCCCTGCTGCTCGCGGACATTTATATATCCCTTTTCTTCTTTGTTTTTTTTTTTTTTTTGTATTTCCTCTTTTCTTGTACTCTCTGCGCGGGGGCTACGTCCCACTTGCACGACTTATGCGATATTGACCGTCGATAGCGAATATCAACGGCCGAAATCTCCTAATCCGTGCAAGTAGGACCTTGCCCTGGGGCGTGGTCCCACTTATAGCAAAGAGGATCGGATCGAATGCCTGGATCTGGACGAGTTTATGGAGATAAGCAGGAAATCGGGATTGAACTGCTTTTCTGCATCTGTGCTTAAACCACATCCAGATTCAGGAGCTCGATCCTATCCTTTGTTTTGCTAATGGGACCTCGGCCCCGGGAGGAGGAGTTCTCCTTTCTTCATTCGTTGATCCGATTTGGGGCCTCGCTGCAGTACTCTCGAAACGTGCAAAACGAGAGTGAATCTTCCGCTAGAATATGGAAAGATACAGCGCCATGTTTTTTGTCTTTTGTGCATCTCGAGAGTGCAGCGATGCCCTTGATTGCGACTGTTCGCAGCGCATGGCGGCGGAAACACACCTAAACGGATCAGTAAGGGCATCGCCACACTACTCTCGAAATGTGCAAAATGAGAATTAATCTTGCGCTAGAACATGGCCAGATGCACCCGACACATTTTTGTCTTTTTCACCTTTCGAAAGTGGTGTGGCAGCCCGTAAGCGGACCAGCGTTCGAACCCCGCGCAGTGGCGCGAAGAGGTGAGCGAAAAGTATAACTTCGTCGACACGAGGCCTGTCCACCTCGGGTGAGGTCCCACTAGTAGCAAAGAGGGTTGGATAAATATCCCGAATCTGGACGTGTTTTAAGCAGAGATGCGGAAAAGCAGTTCACTCTCGACATTCTGCACCGGTCCGCAAACAAGTCCATATTCAGGTGTTCAATCCAATCATCTTTGCTAGTGGGACCTCGCCGCCCTGGGCCCCGTGAGTTCGATGATGACACCGTCGCCCAGACAGAAAAAAAAAAAAAAAAAAAAAAAAAAAAAA